ATGTCTAGAAGTCCTATAAAAATCACAAATTTCCCAAGGGTCTCTTTCCAGCTATTTTCCAAACAAGTATCTGTTTAGAATCCTTATTGCATGTAAGAAAGCAATTAAATGGGTACAACTACAGTAGTTAGGGCTTATCTTGAACACTGGATAAATATATTACATGATATTTTTGCAACAGAGAAACTTACTTATGCAATAAGATTAAAGTCTCGTACATTTTCAATACTGAAGAGACTGGATTGATCACATCCCTAATGTGAAATTTGTAAATATAAATGAATTCACTAAAAGACAGAGCCACAATACAATCAGTAAGCCACTGTTTAAAAATGAAAAGTAGTCATTTTATGTTTAGTTGTCTCTCCCTGCTAATATATATATATATAAAAAAAAAAAACTATTGATCTAAAGATATGTGAACACCAAAGTATAAAATGTTAGGTTGTTGGTACCTAGCATTAGGTCAAATATGGACAAACCCAACTATTGGGTTAAAAAAGTTTAATTGAAAAATAATTTAAACATATATTTGATCAAACATTGAATGACAACCCGGCATTTTTTAAGAGTGCACCAAAACATCGTGTAATATTACACCCCTGTTCACAACTGTTAGCAAAAAATCTGCCTCCAAAATATATTTTGTCAGCGAGCAAAATGTGACTTTCTACTGAAAAACTGCAAGAAACTCCAAAGGGAACTCCATGGAAAATTAGCCAAGACCTGAGAATGACGCAGACATTCGATCATCCCTTGAGAACTGAAGTTTTTTGTAACATAAACGAATGTTAATTGCACATTAGCAAAAAACTTGGAAAGCACACACATCTTTCCATACTCGTGTGGAGTAGGTTTCTGGCCTAAGAACTCAATTAGGTTGAATTATGAAATCGCAACCACCGATCAATAACGCTCATGTGCAATTCCATGCAAATGTCAAACTTACCATCAAAAAAAAAAGACGTTTATCAAAATAGCGAAAGCCTTTGTAGGTTTTTTTGTGTAGTCTTGTATTTTACAGTACTGTAAAAATACTCAAATGTCTGTCAATGTTTTCAAGCAATTATATTTGATTTACCAGAAGTCACACAAGTGTCAATTTCACATCTGTCACATCCGTAACGGAGAGCGGTCACATCCATAACCAAGCTTTTCCCTCATAAATGCAAAAATGTCAAATACAGTGGTCCCTCGCCATCACCTTCCATGGTCTTGCAGTTTCGGGGGAATTTTTATTATTATTATTTTTTAACTGCACATTGTGTTTGGCGTCCTAAGACCAATCAATCTCCTCCGTGTCTCCTGTACAGTACAGAACGTGATCAGTTTGCCAAATAACATAAATCTTCGATCGCTAGTAGTATGAGTTTTAACGAGAACGCAAAAGGGTTATAACTGTCTGCAGCAAGACCATCGTAGAGGGGGGTCGCACACTGGATGCGCTGCACCACACAGCACCATGCATTTTAGAAATGTAAACATAAGCCCCTTTCACACATACAGACCTTTCCGGAAAATTACCGGCAATTTTCCGGAAAGGTTGTATGTGTGAACAGGCCCTTTTTGAAAATACCGGTAAATTCGTTCTGGCTATTTTCCGGAAAGAGAAGTTGTAACATTACCGGTGATTTGCCAGAATGCTGCGCTGTGTGAATGCAGAAGGAAGATTGCCGTAATAAGCGCGTCCACGTCTAGAACGTGCTGACGTGAGACACCTGCTTTAGCCAATCAGAACAGTCAGACGCATTCACGTGCGCGCGGTTTATGAGAATAAAAGCCTTTGAATATTTTTTCCAGACACCTTTAGCTGCTAGATGTTAGTCAGATAATGTTTCTATGTTTCTTCTTTATGCTGTGTAAATAATTATCGATAAAATGTTTATGATAATCCGTTGTTTGTTTACCTTCAAGCTTTGCGTGTGCCCGTGAGCGCCCATAGCGCCAGCACACACACATATCATGAACATCTCGACATGCGAAAGTGTTACCCTATGTTTTCATTAGAGTTGTACTCAATACTGATCCATCCGAAGAGTTTGTGATGTAGTCAAATGTTTACAAACACAAGCGCAGCCGTTTAGAGCTCATTTCTGGTTAATGATGTCAGAATTTACCGGCATTTTGCGATGGATGTGTGAATGCTCTTTTCCGGAAAAATACCGTAACGTCCCCGCCTGTGTGAACAGCGTTTTTTTTTTAATATACCGGTAAAGTCGTTCCGGAAATGTTCCGGATATTTACCGGTATCACTGTGTGAAAGGGGCTAAAGGTTCCCGGCTATAGTAAAACTCAGGCCACTGTTCATATTTCTGCCCCGCCAAAAAGCAGCATCTGAATAATTTCATGTTTCATAATTTCATTTCATGCAAATGTGAGCATCCAGTGTGTGTTATGGCGAGCTCAGACTGCATGATTTTAGCCCTGATTTTGACTCACCGACAGGTCATTTTTGACAAAATTGCAGACAAATGCCTGTCACTCACGAGCACCGATTTGCCTGTGATTTCAATCACACAGTATGAACTATTAAAGACGTGATCTAAATATCTGGAGCTTTCTGCGATTCAAATCATGCCGTGTGAAATGAGTTGTGAATGAAAATAACATTGCCTACAACCAATGAGAGAGCAGCATTTACTTGTGTGTGTGTGTGCACCTGCAGGCCAGCAGGAGAAGTTAAAAGCGCTCATTTTTGGTTTATTTGGATCCAAGAAATGGCAGAAAAACTAGTGGAGGTTTGACAGGAGCACCCATTTCTGTTTGACGTTTCATACATAAAGTTAAAAAAGAAAGTTGAGTAGAAATGACTAATTTCCTTCAAACCCAGGTGAGCAAATATGTACATTTTCTACCCCATTAAAGGCTTCTTTCTCGTTATGTAGTTAAAAACAAAAGATATACTACGTGTTTTGGGCTGTGAGATGTAGTTTGGACGAAGTTGTCAGCGATTCTTCCTATTGTAAAGTCATGCAATGGGAAAGCCCCTGTCGCCGATCCATCTTGCAGTGTAAAAGCAGTGACAAAACCCTAGCCCAGATAGTCATGCAGTGTGAAAACATCTGTGACACGACTTTTTTTGAAAATCATGTAGTCTGAACTGACTCCCTTAAGTATGGAGTCTGCTTTTGCTTTATCGATCAGTGAATGCAGGATAAAGAACATTATGCTGGATGCCAACATTATCCACACATGAACTTTTTGCTAACAGCGATGAATGTTTGCGCCTGACAACAGGTTTTGATCTTCAGTTTCATTTTATTAATTCATTCATTCATTTTCTTGTCGGCTTAGTCCCTTTATTAATCCGGGGTCACCACAGCGGAATGAACCGCCAACTTATCCAGCGAGTTTTTACACAGCGGATGGCCTTCCAGCCACAACCCATCTCTGGGAAACATCCACACACATTCACACACACACTCATACACTACGGACAATTTAGCCTCACCTGTACCGCATGTCTTTGGACTGTGGGGGAAATTACTAAGCAGGGAGAACATGCAAACTCCACACAGAAATGCCAACTGAGCCAAGGCTCGAACCAGCGATCCAGCAACCTTCTTGCTGTGAGGCGGCAGCACTACTACTGTGCCACTGCTTCGCCCGGTTTAATTTTATAATACCGTTTTATTAATATTATAATTATTTTTACAAAGGTTTGAACTTTGAGAGTGTTTAAACAAGAGAGAAGAGTGAAAATTTGAATGCCTGTCTGAGAAAAGTGTACAAAGTGTGTAGAGGGGTTTTAAAGCCTTAAACATCTATAATAATAATTGTAAAAAAAAAATAAAGCTGACTACTTCGCAGATTTTACCTATTGCGGGTCATTTTTAGAACGCAACTCCCATGATTAACGAGGGACCATCATAAAACAAAATCAATCATTTTTATTCTATAGAGAGCCATCTCTTATTCTTTTATTAAGCATCGTTTCTTTTGGGTTGTGCCATTTTATTTACAGAATTTCTACAAAGTGTGCTGTATACTGTAAATATCCATAATGCTGTGTACATTTACAATTACATACATTGTATATAATTGTATAGACCAGTGGTTCAACCTTTTTTCATCAAGTACCACTTCAGAAAACATTGTCCCTCCAAGCACCACCATTTGACCAATATTAAAATACAGTAGTGTAGTAGACCTAATTAAGCAGCTACAGCTCTGCACAGTTTAAAAACGTGGCAGATTAATTACTATTATTAATAAATTAACATTTATTATCATTAGCCACTTTGAACCTTATAAATAGTTTGAACATTAACACTGCTGTGTTTATATGTAAAAAAAAATAAAATAAAATAAAAAAATAAAAATGTCAACGTTTAAATTAAAATGTGCTTTTAAAAGTTCATTAAAAATGGTAGGCTACTGTTCTTAAAAAGTAAAAAAAAAAAAAAACTCCAGTACTTAAATGTAAAGTGTAAACCTATAGTATAATATTCATCAAAGTCTGGAAATGCTGCTTGTCATTATATTCATATATGAACCATTTTTTGATAATATATATATATATATATATTGCATGTACATATGACATTGGATTCCTCTGCGTACCACTAGAAGGCAGCCCGCGGCGTACCACAGTTTGAGAACCACTGGTATAGACCATTTTAATGTGATGTCATTGGCCCACGAACATTTCCTGCATGTCGTCAAACTATTTCATAACTGTAACAAGAGGAGATTTAATCATAACCTAACATCAAAACAGCTGTCATAACATTATTTATCAATATCTGGACCTTTTGTGATTCTCAAAAGCTGTAAATACATTAGGACCACTGTTATTGTTTACATCCCTCGAAATGGTCTACTGTACATCCATAATATTTATTTCCCTGATTTAAAATAGAAACAATTTTAGATTAAATTTTAGATTAGTTTCAGTATAATATTAACATATAATTTGAATGTGAATAAGTTTTAAGTTCTTACTGCAAATGTCGCCTCCATAACGCTGGAATTGCTCTCATTTTTTGTTTCTCTTCTAGTCTCGTACCTCTTCCAAAGCTTCACCGAAGGCGAACTGAAGAAGGTGATTGCGACCCTTGTGGACCAAAAGCAGAGGAGGATCAGAACTGAGGCAGGTCGGAGAACCAAACGAGCACGAAAGGGCCCAAAGCCATGCTCGTTACATGAAATCAACCTCACCGTGAGCGAGCTGGGCCTCGGGTATGAAAGCGAGGAGACTGTGCGCTTCAGGTACTGCAGCGGGAAGTGCACCAATGCCAGACGCAACTATGACTTAGTAATGCAGCACATGCAGCTGAATAACGGCTCCAGTGAGAAAGCCAGACCAGGACGGGACAATGGGAAAAAGGACAAGGTGCGATACACTCCTTGCTGTCGACCGATAAAGTTCGAGAAGAAAATGTCTTTCTTGGACAACAATAATAGATTCAACACCCTTCAGAACGTGTCTGCGAAAGCGTGCGGCTGTGTATGACATTCCGGGAAGCTATGGAAACAGTCTATACATATCCATGGGAATGAAATTTTTCTGAATTCCTTGGTTATGGTGGGATATTTGGAATAGGATGCAGAAATATTGGAGAATGCATTGCAAATTCAAAGATGATCTTGAAAATGGCTCCTGTATACCACCATGGAAAAATAGTGACATCTACAGAGAAAAAGTGACGCATAAAACACAAAAGACAAGGCCTGAATTGTCTAAAACCAACTTTGGAAAGTTTGCCACAAGAAAAAACAAAACAAAGTTCTGCCTTTTCAGTGGTTGCTGGCACTTTTGATTAGCACAGGGCACTGTACTTCAACCAAAAGTTGGATTATTGGTTTAATTCAATGGGACCACAAGCTGAAGGGAGGCCTTCTGCAGAAAATCAAATACAGATCTAAATATAAAACTGTATTTAACCAAAGATATATCTATATAAATGGTACAGCGACAACTGTATGCTGCTGGCTTTTGTTACGAATCTGAATCCTGAAGTATGAAGTGCAACGCAGCTGTGAAAACTACCTCATTTCTTTCTTCATTTCTTTTTTTGTTTGTTTTCTTAGGAGAATGTACATGCAATGAATCTTGTTCTACCGCACCCACATCCTGGGATTACACTAGTCAGAAATATGAATCAGAGGTATACATGTAGAGAAATGCTTCTCTACCACACGTCTCCTAGGATGGATATTACCTAAAACAACAATGTCACTTAATACATATATATACGCATATATCTGAACCCTCAGATTTGACCTTGCCAAAGCCTGTCTAATCAAATCTAACTTCCTACGAGACATTTACATTTATTAAAAGAAAAGGCTACCAATTCTAAAAGCAAATATGGAAAAGTACTGCTTGAAAGGTTTTCCCAAAAGTGTCGTACCTTAAAGACCTTAAAAAGGTTTCTCACGATCACGTTCATGTTTACATTCCTTAAAACAATGATCAACTTGTCTTTTGGAAAGTAATTCCAGATTTTTCTCCTCTTTGACAGCTAATTTTCCTTTTTTTTTTTTTTGTCTTCGAATACAATTGCAGACAAGTACACTCTTAAAAATAAAAGTACAAAAGTGGACAATGGATTGAAACCTTATTTTAAATTCATACCTTTTAGTACTAACATGCATCTTAAAGTTGCAAATACAGGTTCTTTATTTACAAACATTACAATGTTTATTAACATTTGTATAGTCAGAACAAGAACAAGCACCGTTTTGGCATTGAAATAGTTCAGTATCATACTGCAGCTAAAAAGTAATTGTTAATTTAAAACTTTGCCACTATTCTTCAAATCACTAGTTTTGACCCATTTGTCAGCAAGAAGAGTCTAATGATTAAAATATAACACTTAATATGACCAAATATTACCTAATAAACTCAGTTCAGAATAACTATGTTGTTGTTTTTTCTACATATCTATATTTAATGCTGAATGATGATGATGATGATGATGATGAAGAAACCAAATTTTCACCCATATTTTGACATTTTAGTTTTACAAAATTTTAGGGCAAAAATTAACCTCGATTAAAATTGCATCCAAAATAAAAGTTTGTTTTGTGTCATATATATATATATATATATATATTTAAAGTTTTTATGACACACACATACATTGTTACAAAACTGTTTAGTATAGCTTTCTTAGATATTTAAATTGCAAAATGTGCGTTTGCATGATTTGTTTCATATACACCTTTATTCATTCATTTTCTTGACAGCTTAAGTCCCTTTATTAATCGGGGGTCGCCACAGCGGAATGAACCGCCAACTTATCCAGCACATTTTTACGCAGCGGATGCCCTTCCAGCCGCAACCCATTTCTGGGAAACATCCACACACATACTCATACACTACGGACAATTTAGCCTAGACAATTCACCTGTACCGCATGTCTTTGGACTGTGGGGGAAACCAGAGCACCCGGAGGAAACCCACGCGAAGGCAGGGAGAACATGCAAACTCCACACAGAAACGCCAACTAAGCAGAGGATCGAACCAGCGACCTTCTTGCTGTGAGGCGACAGCACTACCTACTGCGCCACTGCTTCGCCCATATAAAAATTTATATAATATAAAATATATAACAGCACACACACACACACACTCACATAGTTCAAGTCAGAACTATTAGCCCCCCATTTATTTATTTTTTTTCTCACCATTTCTGTTTCACGGAGAGCAGATTTTTTTTCAACACATTTCTAAACATAAGTTTTAACAACTCATCTCTAATAACTGATTTTTTTTTCATCTTTGCTATGATGACAGCACATAATATTTTACTAGATAATTTTCAAGACACTTCTATACAGCTGAAAGTGACATTTAAAGACTAAACTAGATTATTAGATTAACTAGGCAGGTTAGGGTAATTAGGCAAGTTATTGTATAACAGTGGTTTGTTCTGTAGACTATCAAAAAAATAAATAGCTTAAAGGGGATAATAATTTTGAACTTAAAATGGTGTTTAAAAAAATTTAAAAAATGCTTTTATTGTAGCCGAAGTAAAAGAAATAAGACTTTCTCCAGAAGAAAAAAACATTATCAAACATACTGTTAAAATTTCCTTGCTTTGTTAAACATCATTTGGGAAATATTATAAAAACATATAAAAATAAAAAGGGGGATTATAATAATCTGAATAATAATCCCTAATAATTCGGACTTCAACTATGTGTGTGTGTGTGTATTAACATATTAAATAATGCCGAAACAAACTTTTATTTTGGATGCAATTAATCGTGATTAATCTTTGCACAGCAATAAGTTTATTAAAAATATATTAAAGTAAATGCTCACTTGCATTTTATATGAGTTACAATACCACTTTATTATTCCATCTAAAACAGACACCAAATTTGAACGTCTCGTCTTAGACCCACATGTGATATTGACCTGCATTTTACCATAATGGTTCGTACAGCATCTACTTTGAACCCTTTGAACCTATTTTTAAGAGTGTACATGGATTATCCGGTCATAAAGAAAATTCTTTGTTATCCTGGTTTCTAGACTAATCACAGAGTATGAAATCTGTCATTAACACAGTTACTGATAATTATATGTCTGTGAAGATGAACTGCTGAAAAGCCTGATGGTGGATTTGACAGTTCTAAGCTGTTCAGACACACAGGATTAAGTGTTAAGTTTATCCTTGTCCTTTCAGAAACGTTGAAAGGAATTACGTATTAGCCTTCCTGTGAGATTGTTATTCTTTTCCAAATATTTCCCAAGTAATTTTAACAGAAAATTTTTTTTTTCTGCTGAAAAAAAAAATCAGTTTTATACAATGATTTAATATATAATATTCAATATTATTTCCACCTTAAACAATATTTTTTCGTCTACAGAACAAACCACTGTTGTCCAATGACTTCACTGATTAACCAAACTTACCTAGTTAACCTAATTAACCCAGTTAAGCCTTTAAATGTCACTTTAAGCTGAATACTAGTATCTTGCATGATATCTAGTAAAATATGTACTGTCATCATGGCAAAGACAAAAGAAACGAGTTCATAACTGATTTATTAAAATTACTACGTTTTAAAAATGTGCTGAAAAAAAAATCTGTTAAACAGCATTTGGAAAATATACGAAAAATGAATTTATTGCTTAATTTTGCTTTCAAGTGTGCATTGCAAATGCTTCAAAACAACCGATCTGGTTGATACACAAAGTGTCATGAACAATCGATTATAACTGAATTTAGTTTGAGCCACAACCCACCAATCAGCTCATAGATCACTGCGAAAATGACCAGATTTACCATCTATTGTCTTGATGTTCGTGCGTTATCCATGCTGTTTTTTCTCGCCAAAAAAGACTGTGGTCTAATTGAATAACTCTGATGTAATTAAGGACAAAACTACAAATGAGATTGGAGTCACGCCGGGATCCGTCAAGCCCTAAACACGTCTTTCCTTTAAAGCTAATGGAATTACTGTAAAAACAAGGCAACAGCTAATGGAGCATACAGTCCTTTTACATGGATTAATTATATGGGAATTTTAAGTCATTAAAGGGACAGTTCACCCAAATGTTTAATTTTACTCACACCCAAGCCATACAAAACCTTTTTGAGGTTCTTTTTTTCTGTTGAAAACAACAAGATGATATTTTGAAAAATGTTGGACAACCCTGCACGGTTGGAAAACAAATACTATGGAAGTCAATGGCTGCTGCATTTTTGCCCAGCTTTCTTTGCAAATATATTTTCTGTTCATCTGAAGAAACTAGGATTAGAACAAGTCAGCAAATGATGCCAGAATTTTAACCCTTATGTTACATTGAGGAAGTCACTCTGGGGTGGTTTTGAGTCTTAATTTGGCCACAACGTTCTGTGTTTCAGCAAATAGAATGATTTTAGTGATAAATCCTATTTTGAGATATATTTTGGGAAAATGCTTTGAAAATTTTCATAAACTCAACAATACACTCTGGGCAAATGGACTACCCTTTCGTTATATTAGTGGCTGTTTTTTCCCCAAAGACTTCTCTTATAATAACATTTTTTGATTGCAAAGCCTCGACACCAAACAATCACAATTTCTGGACTGCTGCTGGTTTTCCCTGTTGGGAAGAGGTCAAACTTGTCATTATTACTGTTGATCATCAGCTCCTGTCCAAAAAAAAAAAAAAAAAAAAAAAAAAAAAGCGCTTAGTTTCTGGTTTTTATATGGAGTATTGTGTGTGTGTGTGTGTGTGTGTGTGTGTGTGTGTGAGATACCTTTGCACACATACCAAATACGTCTGAGAAAATACAAATAAGTGTTTCTGCTCTCAAAACTACATGGAGTAAACAAAAACATGGTAAGTGTATTTAAGCACACAAACTATAATCTGCTGTTATACTGCATACAAAATCCAGAAACGAAGCCACAAGCTTATCTAAAGGGTTAATGGTGCCAACAGACACAACCCCCCCCCCCGATCCCCACCCCAAATCAGTGACGCCATGAACTTGCCAATTACAGAGTCAAAATCTCTTTAAAAATGATTTTCAAAAAACATTTGATAAAGTTTTGATCAGGACTGAGGTTACAAAAAAAAAGGATAGTAAATTTAAACGATACAAAAGGGTTAATGTATTTGAATACAAAATTAAAATGTTAAACGTAATTTCTGAATGAATACTACAAACCAGCAATCTATGCAATGAATTAAGCAATTATCAGAAACTCCCAACCCAGGCTCATTATGTTTATGTACCCCTAAATACATTTCTGGAGATCACAAAATTCGTCCTAGGAGGTACGTTTTTTTTTTTTTTTTTTGCAGTTTTTGTTTTCGCGAATTCAAAGATCTCAAATTTCTCTTGCAAGTGTCAGTCGGGCCTGCTGCTCTTGTGTAAATCCACCAGAGGCCACTGTCAACTGACTGACTGACCGACCGACTGACCAACCATTTGCTCTTCTCACCCCCTTCCCTAAAACCAACCGATAGTGTTTTTAAAAGCACCAATTGACCCGATCACCCCCTTCCCTAAACCAAAACAACAGCGTTTTTAAAAGTAATCCAGAAAAAGAAAGGCCCTCACGGCTGCCTGATTTTCAGATCTCACCACGTTCTCACCCTGTTGTTTACTTGTTTATTTTATTTTCTGCCTTTTGTTTTTGTTTTCCCTGCTTTCTGAAACTGTTCTTCGCCAAACTCGAACCCCATCATTGAGGTCAACTCCACTCTGTATATCAAGTCTGCTAACGTACGCAGCAAACTACTGGGCAAACTGGTAACAGTAGAGAAGCAGCCCACATGAAGGTAATGGGTCAGCTAGTAGCGTGAAAAGAAACTGAAGCCGTCGGTGGTGTCATACCACCCCATAGCATTCATTTGAAATGCATACGTAGCTCTGGCTACATAATTCGCGCTCTCCAGAAATGTATACGGGGGTACTTCTTCACAATGAGCCTGTGTTTAAATCCAGTACTGTAAAAATATCAGTAGACAACATGTCAAATTTGTGGCGTCTTGCCAACGGTAGAACCCTAGTAAGCAATTAAACGGTGTCTAAGCTTGCAAACTGGATACAGAACATGACCGTTTGCCCCGACCAGGCAGCATCTGAGCTGTAAATGAACCTATAATTATTTTTTTGTGCGTTTTGGAAGTAATTCAATCTATAAACTCAATCAAAATTTAAGCAGAAGTCACCCAGCATGCATGAAAGTGTTTGTGCTCCTCTGAAAAAAAAAAAAAAAAAAAAGATCACAATTAAGACAAGGGGTTCAGCGACTCTACTTCTGTCCATTTATATTGAAGTGGAGTACTTTAGTGTCTGTATTTGTATGTAAAATGAGTATAAAAGTACTGCGGCAGTATTACAACAATGGAAAATGTGTGTGTATGATTATATGCGTGTGTGTTGTTGTTACATTTCCCATGTCAACTAATCATGATTAGCATTTGGGTTTTGTTGGATTTTTTACACCAACAGCAGAAGTGTCGATGCAGTGCATCTGTATTGTAGATATATATACGGTATTTATTGCAAAATGCTTTTCATTTATATTTAGATAGATATTTTAGGAGGGAGACAGAACTTATTTATTGTTTTACACTTGTGCCAAATGGAATTTCTAAAGTCGGCTGAATAAACATACCCAGCTTACAACAATAAAAAAAAACAACAAAAACTGTGCTTATTTGTCTTGAGTTTCTAAATTCTCTCTTCTGTTTATCCTCAACAACAAGATGTGTAGACGGCGGATTTACAATGGCGCACAAACAGAAGAATTGAATTCTGGTGGGAAGAGATCTTGTTTACGGAGCTTTGATGTTTAAGCTATTAGGGTGATGTAAGGACAATCAAAAAATAAACCAATAACAAATAAGCTGGCGACTTGTTAACATCGAAGTGAAAACAGATTCTATGGAAAAATAATATGAATGCGACCTATAAAGCAAGTCATTTCATAAGCATCCACTCCTTTTTTAGTACATGCCACACCTATATCACCACTGGTGGATCCAACTGGGTTTAGAGGTCATATAAACACTGAAATTGAGATTACTTGTGTAGTCAAGTGGTTTGATTCTAGTATAAACACTCGACCTGGACGTTCCAACTTTCTGGTGAGTCAGTATTGTGGCAGAACCACCATTAAGAAAAAATAAAGTCCATTCTAAGGAACTCATTGAAAAGCACAAAGACGGAAATGGATACCAGACGATCTCCTAGTCACCGAATATCCCTTGGAGTGCTGTTAAATCAATAATTAAGAAATGCTAGAAGCTGTAAATCTGAGGAAGGCTACCAGGGGACCAATGACAAATAAATGACTAGACGTTGTGTAATCACTGCCTACAGGCTTTTTACACAGTACAATAGTGATGTTCCAATAGTAAAAACCCCAAAGGGAAACTGATTTTTAACAATTACTGATAAATCTATGAATTCATTTTTATTGCCATGCGCCTTTAAAGCCAGACCCACTATAATTAGTATAAGCTTTGGGATATTTAATCAATTGTACACAACCTGACAAAAGTCTTGTCGCCTATCCAAGTTTTAGGAGCAACAAATAATAACTTGACTTCTAGTTGATCATTTGGTATACAAAAGTGGCTTAAATGAAAGGCAAAGGCCTCTAGATTACGCTTATTTTACCAAAATAAAATATGATCATGTCTTGATTTTTAATCATTTAATGAGGACAGTAAGGTCTGACTTTGCTTAGACAAAAATCTTGTCACTAAACAGAAATAATGTACAATATAGAATATAAAGTCCTGCTGCAGTGGAAAAATAATTATTTTTTGTGTTTGACTCCATCATGAGCTTGGAGGACTGCATCCATACATCTCTGTAATGACTCAAATCACTGATTAATAAAGTCATCTGGAATGGCAAAGAAAGCGTTCCTGCAGGACTCCCAGAGTTAATCAAGATTCTTTGGATTCATCTTCAATGCCTCCTCCTCCTCCTCCATCTTACCCCAGACATGCTTAATAATGTTCATATCTGGTGACTGGGCTAGCCAATCCTGGAGCACCTTGACCTTCTTTGTTTTCAGGAGCTTTGATGTGGAGGCTGAAGTATGAGAAGGAGCGCTATCCTGCTGGAAAAATTTGCCCTCTCCTGTGGTTTGTAGTGTAATGGGCAGCACAAATGTCTTGGCAACGTCGCTGCAGATCTGTTGCACGCTTCCATACTAAAATGTAACTCCAAACCATGATTTTTCCTTCACCAAACTTGACTGATTTCTGTAAGAATCCTGGGTCCATGCGGGTTGCAATAGGTCTTCTGCAGAATTTGGGATGATTGAGATGCAGTTCAACAGACGATTCATCAGGTGAAAAAATAAATAAAAATAAATAAATCCACCTTCGACCACTTTTCTAAATGATCAACTAGAAGTCAAGTTGTTCTTACATCTGGGATAGACGACAAGACTTTTGTTAGGTAGTGTAGATTAGTAGTGTAATTAGGAACTGAAAAGTAAACCACATTCTAACAAAACATTGCCAAACTAAACCTCATAGGCTAGTTGGTTAGGCGTTCCTGTTTTTCTAACTTGCCTGTTATTTTATTGTGAATAGCAAGATAAAATACTATTAAACAACAATTTAAAAGTCTTTGTAAAGTTTTTAAATGTAGCTTTTAAAAAAACTGATTCAGAGTTGACTGTTAATAATGTTTACATAAGTGTTTGCCAATTTGGGAAAAAAAAATGTCCTACACAGAATAAAAGAAATTTCACATATACATTTGTAGGTGTATCAAACTAACTTTTCTAGTCATCAACAAACCTCAGTCAAACTGAACAAATATATTAAAGGTAAACGTTGTACATTTTAAATAATTAGTTGAAATACTAAAGTTAAACAAAAGGAAAACTGTCATGGCTTTTTGTAAAAAATAATAATAATAATAAATAATAAAAAAAGAAAATTCTGTCTAAGAACAGCCAGCACAATAAATAAAATAAAACACAGGTAACATTTTAAATAACCAATTAATTAAAGTCACTTTATGTATTAATCAGCCATAATATCTTAATAAAAATACCACTAATTATTGTTAGCTAATGTAGTCAACTAACAACAAACAAACTGAAGCTTATCATAAAATGTTAGCAGATAGCATTCTGGGACTGTTTTCTGTAAAACAGCAACAGATTCCAATGCAATTGAAAATTTATGGGCAGAAACTTCAAAAAGGCTGTTCACACACGAACCCCATCCAACCTGACTGATCCTGAGCATTTGTAAACAGAACATTGGAGAAAACAAAACTCACACATGGGCCAGATGTGCACTGTGTGTTGACATGAAACAATATCGGACTGTTTATCGGTGTCAAAAAAGGGCTAATTAATTCCTCTGCGGCTGAAAGCTGTAAAACTTGAAAGCTTCCAAGGGGACGAATACTTCTTACAGGCATGTTACCTTCATAAAATTATGCTAATTATCACACTATTTGGATTTAACCATCGCACGATTAACTGCAATGTTCTGAACAAGCTTTCAAAAGGACATAAGCATACTTTCCTGAAACAGAACTGCCCATTTACAATGAGAAAATGGAGGCTTTCTTTGAACATGACCACAAATACAACTGTTGCTATTAACTGTAAACATTTACCGCATTGTAGAGCGACCATCAGACCTGGGTCATTTCATTCAGCGGGCGTCATCCTGACCACAACATCACCGGTGCACATCGCTGTTGTCAACATGACTCCATTGACTCCATTTAACCTCTGTTGCCCTGGGAAAAGACAGGTTTATGTTTAAAACCACAGAGACACAGTAAACAAGAAAGCATAAACTATTTCTATGTTGGTCCAAGATTCAAATCTTCCACTGGTGGACAAAACTCAGAAAGCCGAGGTGTTTATTTCCACTTCCATAACAGATGAAAATAATTAACAGCATTTCAACTTCACCTCATCCCAAAAAAAAAGTACATATGTGCATCCTAATATAATAAATCAAACATTTCCAGCCAATTAGAACATTATAAAAAAAGTTTCCATCAAGAAAATCAACATTAGGGGTCATTTTCAATTGAATTTAAGTTTATTTGTGTAGCACTTTTTACAAAAGGTGGACATTACAGCATTACAATCAAATTCAGATAAAGTTATTAGTTACCATAACCATATTAATTACTAATAACTTTAACTAATTAGTTAAATATTTTGTGACCCTGGGCCACAAAACCAGCCTTGTTGCACAGATCACCGGCCACTTTATTAGGTACACCTGTCCAACTGCTCAATGACGCATATTTCTAATCAGCCAATCACATTGCAGCAACTCGATGCATTTAAGCATGCAGACATGGGTAAGACGATCTGCTATGTGATCCAGAGGATGGTGGGTAAAAACAGAACAGTAGGGAGAAATAGATGCGAGGAAACCGTTATATCAAGGTTAAGGTTTGGACATACTGCTCTGAATAGTGGACTGTTTACAATAGGAAAACATCCAAATGGAGTTTGTATTAATTGTAATGAAGAGGAAAGTATAGAACAATTCATAAAGAAATGCCCATTATTAGGGCCAGACAGAATCTGTGGACGTTTTTTGCTATTTCTGCGAATAATTATGGTAAAAATCTGCAGATTTCTGGGGAATTATTTTGGGAGTATCCAACGGAGTATTGTAACTAAAACCTTAATATATTAAATAAAAAGTAATAAATTACTGAATAAATTCAGATTTACATATTTATTCAAGTAAATAAACAGAATTAATAATGGGCTAAAAATCTGCAGAAATCTGCGGAAAATCTGTGGAATTCTGCGCGTGCAGATTTCGTGTGGGCCTACCCATTAAATAAAAAAAAAAAGAAAGGAATAGGATGATAGACATTGAGGAAAAAAAGGTTAATCTAGATATTAATAGTATGTTAAGTTGTGGAGTAGGAGATAGTAAAATAAAAGCTTTAATATTTCTTAGAGAAACTGGGTTGTATAATAGAATATAAATTAATAAGTTTAAGAGAGTAGAAATTTTACTTCTGATTCACACTCCTAACCAGTAGATGACAGAAAAGATAAAGTTGCATGCCGACTGCCAATAAAACACCAAGAAGAAGAAGAAAATCTGCTGCAGTTCAAACAGAGCATCAAAATGGGAAGAAATTTTAATTTAAGTGACTTTGAACATGGCATGGTTGTTGGTGTCAGACGGGCTGATCGGAGTATTTCAGAAACTGTGGATCTACTGGGATTTTCACGCACAACCATCTCTAGGGTTTACAGAGAATGGTCTGAAATAGAGAAAATATGCATTGAGCGGCAGTTCTGTGGGCGCGATATTTCCTTGCCACACTTTGGGCTCAGCAGGATAATGCACCATGTTAAAAGGCAAATTATCTTAGACTGGTTTCTTGAACATGACAATGAGTTCACCGAGCTCAAATGGCCTCCACAGCACCAGATGTCAATCCAATAGAGCACCTTTGGGATGTGGCGGAGCATCCTGCCGCAAGTTGTAGAATCTATGCCACGGAGGATTAAGGCAGTTCTGAAGGCAAAAGGGGATCCAACCCAGTACTAGTAAGGTGTAGTGACCAGTTAGTGTATTGTTGGCAATAACAAAAAAAAAAAAAAAACACATTGTATGTGTCAAAGTTTTTTCAAAGAATTTTCTTTTATGCCAAAAATCATTTGCATACTGCATCAAGTAAAGATCATTTCCCATTACTATATAAATTTCCTACTATAACTATATATCAAATTATTATTAGTAAAAAGCATTGCTAAGAACTATATGGGCCGGTATAAAATTCTGACGGTATGATAACCTTGGATAAAAAAAAAAAATAAAAAAAATAAAAAAATAAAAAAAATAAAAAAAAAATCACGATTTCACGCTATGACCAAGGTTTGACTCTATTGTGATCATAGCTCTAAAAAAAAAAAATAAAAATTATTTTTAAATGCCTGGGTAAAAAACAAAACCTTTTTTCCCTATTTCATTTTGAGAAACGATTCTAATATTTTGAAGCAGTAAACATGAGAGGTTCAATATTTTAAATGAACTATTGACTTCTGCTCTTGTTTTAAAAATACAGATTTCTTTACAATTTAAAACAGCATCTTTGGATATGTTTTCTGCTGGAGATACTGTTGTCCCAAAAAACAAACAAGCCAAAAAAAAAACATAAATAAAAAAATCGTACACATACCTTAGGAACGGTATAGCAGAAAATGTTGGCGGTTTTAAAACCTAGACTTTTCCAAACCGCGGTAGCCTATGCCTTGAAAACGGTTATTGTCCCACGCCTACTAAGAACTTAATTTGGACAACTTTGGCTGCAATTTTTTGCACCCTCAGATTTCAGATATTGAAACAAGCCTAGTTTTATCTCAGTCAAATGATCTTAAACAATACATCAATGGGAAGCATATTTATTCAGTTTTCAGATGGTGTATAAATATTATGACTGTTTTGGTCACAAATTTCATATAAACAAAACTTAAATTTAAACCAAACCTACACTCGGGGATATAAATGACACAATAGCTTTACAGTAACGTTGACGTTAATTGGTAAAAGTTGATCAGGACTATTTCCTTTTTGCTATAATTGACAGAGTTAGCCAAAAACAAAACTAGGCCTACCTGAACTTCCAAACTAGCTCCAGACATGAAGACAGTACTCATTACCTGTACTGACGTGTAGTGTACCGTGGTAAATGTGAAAAAATGCAAGATTTAATGGAATTAAACCGTGTTTCACCCACCGTTAGCAGCTTCAGTTCAATTTAACAACACGTGACCGGATATGAGGTCAAACTGCGACCGCATAGTTGCTGTTTAAGTTTATACTGTTACTACAATAAAACTGCCAAACATTAAAATAACAGAAATATTCGGAAAAATATAAATGTGCGTTGTTTAACAATTATGAAATCCTATAGAAACAATAAAAAATATTGTAGGTGTTTAATTCTGAAACAAAGACTAATTGTCAGTCAGTATGTGTGCGTCCATCAAATAAAAGCATCCAAAATATATTTAATCAGTTTACAATCTTAATCAATAGCTGAGATTTGCCATAGTTAACGCCTATTTAAGACAGTCATGTTGATTGACAGGCATAACAGCCAATCAAAAACCAAGTTGAGCGTGAGGGCGGAGAAACACGCAGGTGCACCTGAGAAACAAGAGATGCTTTGCACATAACAAAGACCACCAAAAGGACACACAGCAGGTATTTACAATTTCCTTCTTGTTCATTTGAATGTAAACTTAATCATATACATGTTTTGCCAACTATAAAAGTACTCATCAGCTTGACGAGGTTAAATAAATTGTTAATATTTGTCATATAGCGAAGCTTTTGTTATATTGTTTATTCATGTATAATGTTTCTTAAAAGAGACGTGAAGATGCTCATTATATTACAGAAGTCAAATTATAAAGGAGTCCTTTTTTTCTCTCAATTTAAAAAAGCCCACGAGAAACATTAAATATTTCACGTTTGTCGTGGTTTACGACGGTTTATGTACAGAGTTGTTATGGCGATGCTCTGAGTTTTCGTTTCCAAGGCAACATAAATCTAACTTGTTTGCTCACGTGACGTCTTGAAGAGCAGTTCAGCGCTGCTTATCAAACAAATAAATGATTATTGTTAAAGTCTGACGTGTAGCTGTGATCAAACATTGATTTGTGTATTGTTTTATTGCGATTCTGTTGTTCAGGTATCAGTAATGGCAGCAGACGCTTTGCAGGATCTCCGACAGCAGTGCCTCAGCCGAGGAGCCGCGGGAATCAAGGGTCTTGGAAGGCAAGAGAAATATTCATGTCACCTAAAGGGACTTTCACCAAAAACTGAATACTCTGTCCACCTTAATATTACCTCCAGAACACTATAGATTTTTATTTTAATGTGTTAAATTAACTTGTAAAGAATTTACATAATTTAAGGTCAATAAATGCTTTTGTAGTTGTCATTAGACAAGGCTATAACTCACTGGCCACTTTATTAGGTACACCTTACTAGTACCAGGTTGGACCCCCTTTTGCCTTCAGGACTGCCTTACTCATTCGTGGCATAGATTCAACAAGGTACTGGAAATATTTCTCTGAGATTTTGCTTCATATTGACATGATAGCATCACGCAGTTGCTGCAGATTTGTCGGCTGCACATCCATGATGCAAATCTCCCGTTCCACCACATCCCAAATGTGCTCTATTGGATTGAGCTCTGGTGACTGTGGAGGCCTTTTGAGTACAGTGAACTCATTGTCATGATCAAGAAACCAGTCTGAGATGATTCACGCTTTATGACATGGCGCGTTATCCTGCTAGAAGTAGCCTTTAGAAGATGCACTGTGGTCATAAAGGGATGGACATGGTCAGCAACAATACTCAGGTAGGCTTTGGTGTTGACACGATGCTCAATTGGTACTATTAGGCCCAAAGTGTGCCAAGATAATATCCCTAACACCATAACACCACCACCAGCAGCCTGAACTGTTCATACAAGTCAGGCTGGATTCATGATTTCATGTTGTTGATGCTAAATTCTTACCCGACCATCCGAATGTCACAGCAAAAATGGAGACTCATCAGAGCAGGCAACGTTTCTTTAATCTTCAATTGTCCAATGTTGGAGAGTCTGTGTGAATTGTAGCCTCAGCTTCCTGTTCTTAGCTGACAGGAGTGGCACCCGGTGTGGTCTTCTGCAGCTGTAGCCTATCCGCCTCCAGGTTTGACGTGTTGTGTGTTCAGTGATGCTCTTCTGCACACCTCGGTTGCAACAAGTGGTTATTTGAGTTAATGTTGCCTTCTATCAGCTGGAAGCTGTCTGGCCATTCTCCTCTGACATCAACAAGTCATTTGCGCCCACAGAACTGCCGCTCACTGGATATTTTCTCTTTTTCAGACCATTCTCTGTAAACCCTAGAAATTGTGTGCGTGAAAATCCCAGTAGATCAGCAGTTTCTGAAATGCTCAGACCAGCCCCTCTGCCACAAACATTCAAACGTTCAAAAGTCACTTGAATCACCTTTTTTCCCCATTCTGATGATCGGTTTGAACTGCAGCAGGTCGTCTTGATCATGTCTACATGCCGAAATGCATTGAGTTGCTGCCTTGTGATTGTGATTACAAGCAATTAATGCAAGTGTGCCTAATAAAGTGGCCGGTGTGTGCATATTAACTGATGTTCAAAAAAATGAACATTACTTTACAGAGTTAAACAAAACATCATTTTTATTACTTTAAGATTTTTCTTTTATATTGTAGTCCACATTAACTAGTAAAAATGTTTGAATATAAGAAACAACCACTGCCAATGCAACAATCTGAATACTCCTAAACTATTACGCCCTAAAAGTTTAAATAATTATTCAAGATATTTTGAAGCGAACACAATATTAATCATGTATAAATATTGTCATATCTAATGATAACACAGAAACTCAACATTTTAATCAGGATGTTTCGCAGTATGGACGACGACGGCAGTAAATCTCTCGACTTCCAGGAGTTTGTCAGAGGTCTGCAGGATTATGGCGTGTCTGTGGGGAGAGATCAAGCGCAGCAGATCTTCGCCATGATGGACAAGGATGGAAGCGGCAGCATCAACTTCGACGAGTTTCTGGAGAAATTAAGAGTAAGCGGCGTGAATGCACGCTTTATTTATGTTTGGAGGACGCAGAAATGATAATGCAGTCCTGTTTGATGTTTGCAGCCACCCATGTCGAGCGCACGGATGCAGGTCATCAGACAGGCTTTCCAGAAGTTTGATAAGAGCGGAGACGGCGTCGTGACCGTGGAGGATCTGCAGGGTGTTTACAACAGCAAACATCACCCCAAATACAAGAGCGGCGAGTGGACAGAAACACAAGTCTTCCACTCTTTCCTCGACAGCTTTGACTCTCCACATGACAAAGATGGAAAGGTATCATTTTCCCTATTCTTTAAGGATGCATTCGCAGTCTAATATAGGTTTCCAGTTGCATACTTTGATACATATTAAGTATAAACTAAAATAATCTATAATAAATCATTGGTTGTTGTCAGTAAGTCCCTGTCATAAGGCTGTTGAACACCACAATGACTTTCTGTATGCAATTATTTCAGAGAAGCTGAGTAGTATAGTTTTTACAGAACAATAACATTGAGAAAACTGCATATGCTTAATAAAATTCTATTGAGAAATTAGTTCACGACTATAAGGTATAATTTCCTAAATTTAGAGAAACAGAGTATTTGTGTTTATATATTGTTTGATAAAAATTTTGCATATTAACTGTGGCACATTCCTAAAGGTCTCCCTGAATGCTTTGAAATACGCATTTTTTAAGAAACAACAAAAGCACTGAATGTATTCAGTTTCAGTTGGAACTACATCAACAATAAATATGAATAATAAAGAAATAAAAGTCTCAGCAGCTCCCGGTTCATGTGGACTTTTATTGGAACTGTAGTCTGGTTTAAAAACCCATAGTAAAAATACTATAGTATTTTTTCACATGGGCTTTGGTCTGGATGCGAATAGTTTAGCATTTTTAAAATTGTACTGGGAGAAAATTGCATATTTTGATAATAATTAATTAAATATTATTTTAAAAAATGTAATATTAATAAACTTTCATAAAAAAGTTTTCTAAATATCCATAGTTTTTCAACTAGTTGTTGTAATTAAATTACTTTCCACTCAATGAAATAATGGGATTACTGTCATTTTTTTAGATAATTTATGGCAAGTAACTAATGAAATTAATATTAATTATATCTAACTCTATTGACTTTTATATTTATATATATATATATATATATATATATATATATATATATATATATATATGCATGCACATGTATATTTAACATTTCAATTTTAGGTCTAAAAACTAAAAGGTCCTGTTTGACTCAAATAAAAAAAAAAAAAAGTAATTAAGAGTTTAAAAACTATTGTCCATGCACTCAAATCAAATAATCAGTTATTTAAAGTGAAGGCATTATCTACACACATATTAGAAAAATGCTACAAACTATAAAATACCATTCATGAAAATACTTAAATAATAGACATCCAAACGTCCATTGTAAGCGGGCTGCGTTCCAAAACAGATAAGCTCAATGACATAATGTCTCTGACATCGCCTGTTGTCCCATTTAGCAACTTGATAGCAACCGTCTTTTCAAAAAAGCGTAACAGCTTTAAAAAAAAAATAATAAAAAAATAAAAATAAAAAAAAGATTGGCAAGAGTGGATTGTAACTGATGTGTTTTATTTCGTAGGATAAAACGTGAAAGTATCTTGAGTGTTTGGTATCCACAAAATTTAAGCAATTTAACTGAAATGACATTGAAAAAAAACATTAAATTTGGGACGAGAAAGCCAAAACTGATAAAATGCTAACTCGCGTCCGGGTTTTTGCATACAAATTTATGTCCATAATTCCTCCTAGAGTAGGCCATGGGCGTTGCTAGGCCTATTTTAGGGGGTCTGTAGCCCCACTATATTTATGCTCAGCCGCCCTAAAACCTTTGTGATTAGCTCATAAACTGTACACTAAAATGTCGCCTCAGTCCCCTTCAAAATTGAAAAGAAAACTGCTGCAGAATTCGGCTCCTCCTCGTCTTTTGTTTTTCATTTGATCAACAAACCACAGCCGTGGACAGCGAGAGAACGAGGTGTGTGTTTATTGAAAAACGGTTATAATATTTGCTTATTGGCAGTTCTTTGATATAGATAACCTTGTATCACCTGTATCCCAATGTCATGGAGGAGCAGTCGGGTTTTCTCGGCGTTCACCTCATCAGCACAGCTGTTTCCTCCAGTGAAAACTAACATTTCGCTATTTTCATTTCAAAATGAACTACCAATATTAAATACTTTACAGTTCGTGTGGCATTAACTATACCATAGAATCTTGCTCAGAAAGGATTAAACACAGCGACAGAAGTACTTAGAGAATGTACTCGTTTTAACTGTCACTGAGTCAATGACAGAGACAGAAACATGTCAACAAGTGTTGTCTAGTATTAAAATACTTCTTATTTATTATTATCATTTAGATTGGTAAATGTGAATTAGCCTGTAAGTCTTAAAATATATATTTGTTTGTGTGTCATTTAATCAGGAAAGTGGCAGTTAATTTATTTAATACATGGAAACAAAAAATGCACTTAAATATAAAAAGTGGTTTTTACTACAGTAATAGTGGGGTTGAGTTCTGGCTTACTCAGAACTCAAATGGCTGTACCTGTCTGTGTAATACAGTGGAATACTAGTATACAACCCATATTAAACAAAGATTTTTAACTATTAAACTACTATTTATAAATGTAATATTAGGCTTATATATTAATAATTATTACTATTATTATTATATTTTACCTTATAAAGAGCTGAGCTCCCCCCTAAAATGAAAATCCTAAAATCGCCCCTGGCGTCGGTGACATATAATGAAAATATCTATGGTCCCACCCTCTCTCCATAATTCTTTTGAGATTACGCCAAACATTGAACAACAATGCAGATTTCAAAGCACTTGAATGGGGTTGTTGGTAGATCAGATATAGTTGCAGAAGTTGATGAGAATTATTTATTAAATTTCCCCAATAATTGTATTTTTTTAAAAACATCTACCCCCACCCCAAGCGTCACAGTACTGTAAAAACATTCATTATTGGAACACAGCGTCACAAACAAGATGCTATATTGATGTGCGAATCCGCAGCTGTATCCTACCTAGACGTTACCCTTCATGGGACATTATTCATGAGCCAAGTTTTAAGTTACTATACTCAAAGTAATTCCACATGGATTTGTAGATTTTGTACAAAATTCTTCACAGAAATAGCCA